TAGAGAACCAGATTAGTAATAATTTATTTATTTATTATTAATACAATATTTCTTATAATTTATTATTATTATAGAAGGTATATACAATGCTTATATATTTTGTCATTCTTTTTTTTATCATAAAATTTCTTTAAATGCTGAACAATGAGTTTCAGATAATATTTATATTATAATTGATTTAGCATACTCATTTCAAACATACTTAATAAAACTATATTCTGATTATTATATATTAACATATTAAGTAAAATAGATTAATAAAGTTTTATTATTAATGAGAATAATTGTTGAAAATGCATTTGGATATTTAAAGAAATGATGAAAAATCTTATTAAAAAAAGTATATTGCATTAATATGAAATAAATTATTAAAATAATACATGCTTATTGTATATTATATATTTTTTGTATTAATATAAGTAATTTGTATTCTTTAGAAAATGATATTAGTAGTAGTATAAATAGTAATAAAAATTATATGAACAAATCTATATTAATAAATAAAGCAAGAGAAAAATAACAGGTATTCAAAAACAAGAATATTTGACAGATTTTTTTATTAATTTATATTAAAAAAAACTTTATTACATATTAATATTAAGCAATACATATTTATTTATTTAAAATTATATTAAACAAGCTACTTTATTACATATTATTATATAATAATATATTATTAATATATTTAATTTATTTAAAATTTTAATAAAAAATCTTTATTTATTCTTTTTTTTTTTTTTTTTTTTTTTATTTATATAATGTTCAAGTAGAAACTTTTTACATATAGAATCATAAGTTCTAAAATTAAAGATTTCTAAACTACATTTGTGCTACAAATTGGCACCCAATGTGACATTACGCCTCTTATTTCCTGTGAATGCTATAGTTAACTATTTCAAATTAGATTCTAGCTAGAATAGGTTAGAAAAGACCTTTAAGTGATTGTCTGAACATTTTTAAATACAAAAAGTTAGTGAAAAACCTTGTGTGAGCCATTTGATGATAAAAAAGTTAAAATTTATAGTTTGAGGAGAAATTGTTGTATTATTTGAAGGATTTGGTGATGTTGATAAGTAAATTTTAGTGCATTTAGATTTTGATATAATGTTTCGAGATATTTCCTATTGATGTTAATATGTGTTGCGAATAAACCAGTGATCTTGATAAAACTAGTTTAATAGATCATTTGAAAGCTAAAGCAAAAGGGCATCAGTTTGTTTATTAATAAGTGTTTTGATATTTTTATAAATAGTAAAAGAGAAGGTCCCTGTAATAATATATAAAATATGTTTGAATTAAGGATTTAGTATGTTAAGTGTAAAATTTAAAAGAATATTTAATAAGCTTGTTAAGATTATATTGGAAATTTTTAATAATATTAGAGTATTTTGTATTGTATTTTTGATTAATTGTAGAATGTTTATAGTATTGCTAGGGCATAAAAATAAATGAAGAGTATCTTTAGTATTTGTATAGCGAGAGCAGTTTGGAATAGTATAGTAATATGGGTAACAGATATTATGATTTTGCATAGTAGATAGATTATTAGTAAGAATTTTAATATGAAAGGAGTATTTTTGTAGGTTATTTTCAAGAGAGATGATTTTAAATTTTAATGACCATTTAATATTTGTGATATTTTGAAAGAATTTTAAGTTTGATCATTTGACAATTTCTTGAATAGTTATAGAGTTTTTAATGAAGATGTAAACTTTAATAGGGATTAGATATTTATTCCATATGAAATGGTTTGAAGTATTAAATTTTGAGTTGTTAATTTTGAGAATATATTTTGTAATTCCTTGCTTGGCAAATGAATCTGTTTGGTTGTGAAAAGAGTCTGTAGAGTGCAATTTTATTTTATGAAGAGTAGTAGTAATATTTTTAAGTTGTTTAAGATGGTTAATATAGTGAATAATATTCTAGTTTTTAGTTTGTATAGGTTTGAAGTTGGTAGCTGAGTTGAGGTTTTTGATTACAGTTGTATTGTTGATATAGATATTTAAAAAAATATTAAAAGAAACTGCAAATAAGAGAATGAAAATTGCCTCAAGTTTGATGTAGGTTGAGTCAGAGTAGGATTATAAAACTGCATTAAATTTTATGAATATATCATATTTACAAATCCATCCTATACCACATTTGGTTTCTGGAATTTATAAATTTTTGATAGATCCATTAGTATAGAAATGTAGTTTATCTGTATTAAGTTGGGAGATAAGGTGATTTAAATCAATTAGTTGTTTTTGATATGATGATGTGTTGATAAATTGTTGGATAAGTTGAGCTTCGTAAGATAAAAGAATTATTTGTGGTTGTATTAATTGAGTTGATTGAATAATAGTAGTACTGTATATTTTGAATTAGAGCTAAGATTTCTTTAAAATCAATTTGGATGTTAATGAATCTTTTGATTTGATAGCTGAGTTATAAACTAGTATTAGACCCAGAACATGTGATCAACTAATCACCAATTTCATCATAAGATCATTGTCACATGATCAGTAGTCACGATTTTGTCTCAATTAGGAAGATCACACCAAAGTTGGAATCCCATGCTTATAATGATTATAATGTGTATATTGCATATATTGATTACAATCAGTATAATCAATATATGCGATATAAGCACTATTATCATTATAAGCATGATAATAGATATCAGCACTCTAACAATAGATAGAATTTTGCTTATAAATAATCTGTAATTTCATCCTAGTAATAAGGCAGATTTGAATATAAGAAATAATAAACAACTTACCTTACATACATCAAAGAAAGGTTTTTCTACAAGTGACTATAGAGAACCATTGTCATAATAAAATACTTATTCATAATATTAATAAATCCTATCCCTGTTAGTCTAGTATTCCTGAAGTAGTATGGAATACTGTACTGTTAGAAGAAGTAGAATGATAGTCTTGACATAATGTAGATTATTCAAGATAAGCCAGACCTGAATCAAAATTGCTCATCAAATCTACATGCTTCTTTTGACCAAATGCCATCCAAATGTTACATGAAGCTGACCTTCGATTAGTGACAGACTTGTCAAATTAGAACCTCTCACTAGAAAAAATGAATAAAAATTTGGTATTAGATAATTAGTAGTTGGTAGTAGTTAAGAGAATCCTAAGATGAGTGTAGAAATTTCAAAGAATAATAATTATTGTAGAGAGGTTTGTTGGGAAATATATAGTGATTAGTTATTTGTATAATATATACGATGAAAATAGTGAGAATTTGAGGATGAAGTTGATGATATTAGTTTAATTGTATTTAGGAAGGTATTAATAGAAGGAGTTTATATAAGACCAAGTTTGGGTTATAGTATTAGATTGGTTTAGATATAGAATTTGAATAAACTATTTTGGCTGACAACCTTTATTGGGTTTATTTGTACATAAGTAGATATTGTTTCATGTGAGAATAATTTTGTTATTTGCAGTTGTGCTTTGTTCTAAAAAGATAATTTTATTATTCTAAGACTATTAATAGTAAATATAGATGGGTTGACAGGAAGGATGTCAAAAATAGTATGAGTGTTTTTTGGTATTGGTGATGGAAAAGGTATGATTTGTGAAATTATTGAGAATAAGATTTCATTAAAAACTAGTTGGAAAAGATGAAAAAGTAGAATGTAATTTTGCATTTTTTGATAATGGTTAGTTAAGGTTTTTAATGAAAGTTGAGGTGACTATATTTTGGTAAGCCATCCTTTAATTCATTAAATATCTATATTTTTAAGAATTGGTAGTATATTAAATATTCGTGCAATATTAGCTGTACTGACTTTTTGAATGATGTTATTAAAGGTTAGTAAATTAAAGGTGAATGGATTAGTGAGGATTATATTATTAGTGTTTATTGCTAAAAAGATCATTTTTTTGATATAAATAGTAAAAAAGTAAGAAAATTTAGTTTGTGTATTTGTATCAACTGGAATAATTTAAAGTAGGTATTCTAATGAAGATTGTAGAATTAAATTGAAAAATGATAAAATTTGTGAAGGTGTTATTTTTTTGTGTCGAATAAGAGTAAGGAAGCTTTTGATTTTGTTTTGAATTTGGTCAAGAGTTGGTTTAGAAGATCCTTGATCATCATAGAAAATGCCAAAATATTGAATTATATCTTGTGGTTTATCTTTATTTATTCATTATGTTGTTTTTGTTGAATCTCAGAAGCATATATATATTGAACTTTAATAATTTTTGTAATAATTTCTGTTTGTTTCTTAATAAGAGTTTGAAGATCTTTGATATTTAATTTTTTTTCACTATATATCTTTTTTTATTTTTAATTTTGTTCTATAGTATACAATTATGAATATCTAATTAAAATAAAAAAACCAAATAATAAGTAAATAACTTTACCTTATTTTCATCATTATTCTCAATGTATTCTTGTATTTTACATTTGATATTATGAATTGAATTACTTGTAATAAATGCAATTATACTTGGATCTTTTTTTAAATATGTGTTTAATTATTTTTAATAGCTTCTTTACTAGTAGTTGCAATTTTATCTTTAATGTTATGATATTTTTGAAGAAACACATTCCATTTTTGCTAAATTGATGTTTTTGTACATTTTTTTAAAATTGGACTTGCAATATTAGAAATTTGTATATTTGAAATAATTATATTCTAGATTCAATCTTTTTTTCTTGGATTCCTAATATTCTTCAACATTTCTTAATGACCTCCAACTTTATAAATAAGCATTCAAGTTTCTAATGATATTTATTAATTAACTAATCTGCTAGAAGATGTATTAATTATAACTAAAGATGTTAATGTTGAATCATGAAAAACAGAAACTGATTCTAGGTTAATAACTATGGGTTCATAAGGCAAATAATTTTCCTGATCACAAGAGGCATTAAATAAAAGCTATGTAATAGATTTTTTTTTTTTTAAAAAAAAATAAACTATTATAAAAAATTATTTTTTATATCAATTCATTATATTTTGTTATCAGTTTGTTTAAGGAGTTTATATGAAGTTGAGTAGCAGAGAAATGCTTTGTTGTAATGACAAATTGTTTGTTAATAATGAGGGCTAAATAACTGAAGGGGCCAAAGTTTAAGAAGATGAAGGATTAGGCACTAAGGATTTTAGAGCCAAAGCATTAGGTACTAAAGGTTTTGGAACCAAAACATTAGGTACTAAGGGTTTTGGAACCAAAGACTTAGGTGCTAATATTCGGGAAGCTGAAGTTTTGGGAACTAATGGAGTAACTGTTTTTTTCCTTTTTGGTGACATTAATAATGATAGTAAGAGAAGATGCTCAAGCACTAATTGAAATCATTATTTCAATTGAATATAGTGCTTATGCGTCATCTCAATCACTATGCAATCACAGAAAGGTAAGTGCTTGAGAACAACCTAAGGCTGTTCTCAAGTATCTCCCTCGATGTGTTTACCAAATTATCTGATTGGCCGAAAAAATTGATCGTGATTATCACTTAGGTAAAAAAAACCGATCAACATAGAGCTGCTCTGACTGGCTAAAATTTAAAATCCGCATTTCGAACAATGAATTTTTAATAATTCGTTTTTTCGATTAACCACAATAACCACTAACGCTTTGAGTAACATCTCAATCACTAGCTAACCACATCGAGGGAGCTGCTTGAGAACACTCTAAAAGCATTGGTAACTCGATTAATTTCATAACTATTAACTTTTGCTTTTGATATTTGGGCATAAATATTATATGTTACATGAGAAAAATAATTTCATCGAATATGGTAACATAAAATGATTTAAATCTACGTATATTAAATACTGTTTTCACGTAGATCTTGCAATAAGATATTGTAACTATAAAGCTTTACAGAATCGATATTGATAAGATATTTTATAAAAATTAATAAATAAAATTTGCATACAATAAGCATAATAATTTTTTTATACTAATTTAAATCTTTATTATTTTTATTTATCATAAGCAAATTATCAATTTTATCTAAAATATTATCACAAATTTGATTACTATAAAGGCTTAAAGAGATTATACTAGTATTTTTATTTAGAGCTTCAACTAATGCTTCACCTATTTCAGAACTAAGTTGATTATCACTAAGATCCAAGAAGATTAAAGTAGTATTTTTGTAAAGTGCTTCAGCAAATACTTTTCCTCCAAAGCTAATTTTATTTTTCCAAAGATGTAATACACTTAAAGATTTATTATAATAAAGAGCTTCCGCTAATGCTTTTCCACCTTCAAAACCAAGTTGATTATTATTAAGCTTCAAATGAGTTAGACAATTATTTTTACAAAGGGCTTTTGCTAATGCCTTTCCTCCTTCATAACCAAGATTGTTGTCACTTAGATCTAAGAATGTTAATGTAATGTTCGTATAAAGAGCCTTTGCTAATGTTTTCCCAACATCAGGACCAAGTGAATTACTTTTAAGTTTCAGATAAGTAAGAGTATTATTTTTACAAAGGGTTTCCATTAATGCATTTCCTCCTGCAGAACCAAGTATATTGTTACTAAGGTTTAAAAAGGATAAAGTATTATTTTTATAAAGAGCTTCAGCTAATGCTTTTCCTCCTTCAGAATCAAGATAATTATTAACAAAGTGTAAATAAGTTAAAGTAGAGTTTTTATTAAGAGCCATCATCATCATACTTCCTACTTTAGTACAAAGACCATTTCCTTTAAGACTAAGGAAGGTCAAAGTATGATTTTTATAAAGAGCTTCGGCTAGTGCTTGTCCACCCTTAAAACCAAGTTTATTATTATGAATTTCCAAGAAAGTTAGAGAGGTATTCTCACCAAGAGCATTTGCCAATACTTTTACTTCTTCAGAATCAATATGGTTATTCCAAAGTCTTAAAGAGGTTAAATTTGAATGTTTATTAAGGATGCCTGCTAATAAATTTATCGTTTTATCATAAATGATACCTCCAATAATAATATTTTTAAGTGTCTTACTTTTTCGCAAAAATTTTATAGTTAAGACGTATTTAATGGCTCTAACTATATTTGTAGACCTTACATCATCTGCAGAAAGATTAAGCCACTTTAAAATTCCTTCGTAGGAATAAATTTTAATAGTAATAATGAAAGTTGTATATTCAAATAATGGTTTTTTATAATTTGGAAATATTATGTTAAATGGAACTAATAATGCTTGTTCTTCAGAGTTTAATGTCAAAAGACAAGTTCTTATAAGTTTTTTATTTTCAAAAATATCTAGGTCACTCCATAATATTGGTACAACATTTCTACACCATCGACGGTTTACAAGAAGGCATGCAAATAAGCTTTTATAATGACCTTTAAGGTTAATAAATATTTCAAAAAGGCATTCGCTTGGTAATGTAATCATTTTTTTAAAAAAATTTACGGAGAAGGTCAAGAATTTTGATTCAGTATATCGGATTATAACCATTTATATAATACTTAAAGAATATTTTATGGAATCGAATTATTTATATTTGTTGCACAAATTACTTACGCTAATGCTAATGCCTCCTGTCAGGCTACATTAGTACTTGCGCGCGTGCGTGCGTGGGAACATACATAATTTAGTAGTGCTGATCTCATAGGCAGAAGTTCGTCTGATTGGCTAATAAATTCAATTTAAGTTTACATTATTTTATATAGTTTAGAGTACTTTTTAAAAAACGAAACCTAATCATAATGAGATAAAAAAAGCTTTATAGAAGGTTTCATTAGAACTGTAGGACTCCATAGTCAAAAATAAGATTTAATTCTCGTCCGTTTAAAGAAATCGGCTTAGTAATAAGTTGATTTTAATCTGTTTTGAGCAGTTATTACTATACTAACTTTCTTAAACGGACGAGAATTGATCTTATTTTTGGCTATGCAGTTCTACAGCTCTAATGAAACTTCTATACAGCTTTTTTTATTTCGTTTTCGTTTTTTAAAAAAGTACTCTAAACCGTATAAATAATGTAAAATTAAATTGAATTTATTAGCCAATCAGACAAACTTCTGCCTATGAGTGCTGATCATAACTTGTCGAGACGTGTCGATTGGCAATGCGCGGCAGGAATATGAGTTCTGATGAAAGGATTAGCGTGCAACATAAACAACACTTTCTTTTTTAATGCATTAGTACTACTAATAGCATAATGTACTATTGTTTCTATTGTACGTATTAAGAACGGTATAATCCATAGTGGGTATTTAACTCTAATAATGGCACATAGCCTTTAATACGTATATATATAGTAAGCCTCCATAAAAACAGGATCGCTTTCAATTAGCATATTCATAATTGTATATTACTTAAATATTTTTTATCAAACTTATGTAATAATGACGATATCGATCGTAATTATTGATAAAGAATAGTGGTCAAAAAGTTAATAATAAATATATAGATATATATATAACAACAAATTTGAATTTTTAAGAGTGGGATGAATTTGTATTTATTGATCAATTATTGAAGTAGCACAAAAGACTTTTTACTGACGTTTGATAAATATGAACCTGATATTTTTACAGTTCACTTCTGTATTACGCCTTTACCACTACTTATCTACCGTTATTATTTTGGTAATAATAGATACGTCATTTAGCTTTCTTGGATTTAAATACGTACGAAAAAATAATTATATAAAAATGGAAAAATTGAATAAGTAATGAACAAATAAGCATTAATATTAAGTTTATGTACAAAAATTTTCGCTAAGCTTCAAATGGACTTACAATATGTCATTTACATAATACTGTGGCAGCAATTCTATCGAGAAAGCCGGATTTATATGTAATAAAATGCAATAACCACCTTTTTTATAAGAGCTTCTCTTGAAATCACTATACTGGTATCTGATAATAGGCATAAACAGTAAACTGGATGAGTGCACAGAATTGTGTGTTCAGGGCTAAATGATTTTTTATCTGTTTGTAACACTAAAGTACAAGTACATGAAGATATATCAAAACCGTAATTTTTGAAATACGGATGTTTGGTAGACAGAATGTCCGTTTCACTCCGGATAATAATGAATAGAACGGAAAATTAAAATGTTATATTTTATTAGAATTCTATACATTGTTAGGATTAATTATCTACTATGAATTATACGGAAGACAATATGCAATAGTTTCAGTTGCTCACTCAGGTAATTAATACGTGATTGATATTCGTATACCTGTACAGTTATGTACCCCTAAAAATTGAATATGTTTATCATTCAATTAGTGGTGCAAGTATATTCAAAAATTATATCGCGAATGCTGTTTAACATAATATACGTTGTATGTCATGTCACAATGTGTGCCAGAAAATGTGCTCCAGATTGTGGCGCAGACAAAATTATTTAAAATCCATCCAATAGTAATATTATCCAACGAAAACTTTTTTTTGTCAGAGCAAAAGGTGGTTTCTTACGCAGATTTTTGAGTCATGAGAAATTTTTGCAGAATGAACGTATGTTTTGAATATTCCTGATCGTGTTACGTTATACATAATCTTGAAATCTGATTCGTAGTTCAGAAGCAAACCCTGTACACATTTTTGAGTGCCGTCTGCATAACGTGATATTGTTACTACGTCGATGTTACCATAACGTCGTAATTAGTTACCTCAATACGATTACATCACTACACCCAATCAAATTGCGACTTTCTATCAAGGTCAAAAAGAAAATGGTAAATTAGTGGTGCAACTAAAATTCAGAAAATCGTATTGGAATTCATCGAAACGGACCAGTATCGATAAATTTTGCCTAAAAATCAAAGTCTCCTGAATACTGATTTATTTGTTTTAATAAGGTTTGGTGATATTATTATTCAATGTCAGCCTAGCTTTTATGCATTAAATTTATATATTTTAACACCAGTTCAAAAATTTTATTTTAAGGCGAAAAATTTTCTATTGAGCTTGGATTAGAATCTCTCTAGTAGGTTATGGTTAGAGGGATATATCAACATAAAAGTTCACAAAGAGAACTTTTGTAAATGTGCAGAAAAAAAATTCATAAGCAAAGTCTGGGTTACGAATGGTTTTCGATACGGTATTTTAACTTTTTTTATGCTACTCCAAATCTTGAAATTAATTGGCTAACAAAATTTTTAGACTAGTTGTTTTTAAAATATTATTTATAATAATTACAACTAGATTGGATGCTTTAAATGCCTATAATTCTTGTAACAAAAATAATCTTGATAAAAAGCAAATCCAATAACTCAATTACATCTGCAGTCATGTAGTTATAAAAGATTCACTATACAACACTTCTAGTCTAATATTAATATAATATTAAAATACAAAATTCTAATATAATGAAAATAATAAATTTAATAATCAATAAAACGCTAGTAATAAAAACAACAAATATAATCTATATAAGGCAAGAAAATATGTTCAAAAACCTTAGAAATCCTTTGGTTAATAATCATCATATAATGCCCAGGGGTGTTATTTCGAGATACAGTTTAAAGAGAACTAAGGATTAATTTGGATGTAAAATTTTATAAAAAAATAAAATTGCTTTTTGCATTCGACAAAATTGTTACTCAGCCTCTTTAAAATTGTATGAAGGCTACTAAAGACAAAGGTAGCCCTTTTGTCATGAACCATGATTAGTGATGTACACAATACTATAGTCTGATCTGATAGTTATTATACATTACGTTGTCATGTATTAGTATTCATAGCAGTTGCGTTGTAATTATTGTGCTGCATTTTTGCTTCGCTGTGCTCGACTAATAAGTCTATCTTGGTCAGCTTCCCACCTCCCTCACCTCTAACTAGTATAATCTTTGGTCAATCTTCTCGGTAAGGTTGGTAACTTAAGTAAATATTAGTAGTAACTCGGCCTTACGAGTCGAATGCTAGAAAGTTTGTTGGCAGCTCGACTGTACAAGTCGGATGCGGAGTCAGGATAGCAGCTTACTTGTCAGACTATTTTTGGGGTTAGCAGCTCGACTGCACAAGTCGAATGCAAATGTAGATTCAAATCATTAGAGATGAGTTTACCGTTATTTACAGAATTTGCATTAGAAGTTTATTTTCTCTGTTAAACACTAAATTAAGATTCGTTTAGGTATTCGATTTTAGTGAAAATCTGCGAATCACGTGACAGAGAGACACCTTCTATTTTGGTTTAATATGTAACCTTAGACCTATTAGTGGCTAGGCAAATGAGTAACGTTCTTGGGCGATAATACAGTAAATATAAATTTAAAAAACATTATTTGAATTTTAAAATTTTAAATTATGCCAAGCAAGTTATAGATAAGCATATCCACTTAATTCAATATTATCGTTATCTGAATTTAAGTCAAAGTTATAAGGCATCAATGGTGCCAATGATGCTTGTATTTAATTATAAGTATCATGAATTCAAAACCCATAACTTTTAAAAAAAGCATTATAAAACTATAACTTAATGTTTGAGGAAGATTTCGGTCCAAATATAAATAAATTCTATCTTAAATATACTGTAAAATAATAAAAATATGAACGTTTGCATTCATAATTAACTTAATCCACGTAAGATTCATTTTTTTTGCATAAATATAATTTGAAAGTTTGAAGCCTGAAAAATACAAATTTTGAATAGACATATTCTGACTATTTAAATTTAAAGCTTCATTTACCCATTTTTTTGTTATCGCATAAATATGACACTGATTATTCGATGATTCAATATTTGGTATTATTTTATCAGCCTCTAAAAATTGTTTTTTGATATCGTTATCATCATTATCCTGCTCTATCTCATCAAGCCAATAGACAATTCTTGTGCTGATGACCTAATTGTTGGTCGTTATTTGAATCAGAATCCATACATCTCTTGGCCAATTTTACAAAGCATCTTGTAGTTTCTTCACCAAATTCTGGTCGGTATCCATTACAAATTTTTATAGTAAGTTAGTATCAAAAGCAATACAATCAAATACTTTTTTACCAGTAGATATCTCAGTCATAATAACACCAAAAGAGTATACATCAGCCGCTTGGGTAAATTCTTAGCCTCAGAAGCTATGTATGGTACGACTCCATTAATTTTACCATCCTGTTCGATATCGGACGATGTTGAAAGTCCCAGATCAGTGACGTATGCATTATGCAAAAGGTTTTGCAAAACGTTTCCAGAAGTAAATCTCTATGGATTAATTCCTGAGAATGAATCGATTCAAGATCCAAAGCCACACAATATAGCAGGTTTAACTTTTTGTCCAATCCATTTTTAATTTTAGAAAGGTTTCACGCAATGATCCTTCTTGCATATATTCCAAAACTATAATATAATCTTTTGAATTTGGTTCCTTTGATACTCCGTAACATTATAAAAACGAAGGATTTTCGTATCCAATATCGCAATACTTTTTCAACTATTTAATATTTAATAATTGCATCACGTAAAATTTAATGACTTAAAACAAGTACGAGTTAGTTAATAAATTAATATTATAATTTTATCTCTCGACTACATTTATTTTAATTAATTTTTATCAAGCTTCGTGCATAATATACAGTTGCAAAACCATCTTTTCCAATTTCTCTTATATTTGTAAATTCACTGTAAAGAACATTAGTTTATACTTTTCATCATTTAATATTTGCTTTAATTCTTCATAATCTAAATAATTGTGTAAAATTTGTCTGTTGGTCTTTTTTATATTTCGTCCCATTCGATACCAATGATTAGCTCGTTGCATATCCCTTACTACTCCTATTCCATTCCTATAACAATCTCATTCCTAACGAACCCCATATCTGCTGATTTTTTGAAATAAATGAACACCATTTCCATTTACATAAAAACTCCCAACCATATATATCCCACCAGGTTCCCCATTTCTGCAGATTTTTTAACTCCAATTCCATTAAAATATCCAAATCCAACATTATATGGGTTGCCGTCAATGGAAATCAAGCAAATCTACATTTGAAAAAAAAATCTAATGCCTTACCTTTCCAGTTCATATTTCGATGGATTTTAAAGCTATCTTGATGGTTTAATATTCAAAAGAAAGCTTACGATCTAAGCTTTCTTTTGAGTATTAAACCATCAAGATAGATTTAAACTCCATCGAGATATAAATTGGAAAGTTAAGGCACTAAATTTTTTTTTCAAATGTAGATTTGCTTGATTTCTATTGACGGCACCCATATGTTCCACTAACATTCCCCATTTCTGCGAATTTTTTATAGTATTCAAAAGCCTTATGTTCGTCCTTCTTGATCCCAAAACCTTATTATATTTCCATCCAAGTTCATTGAGTTCATCTCCTGTTAGACTCATATTCGATGGTACATTGTTATCAAATGATTTTTTCATTGTTATTTTTTAAGATAATCGTTGATAAAAATAGTCTAACTTTATTTTTAATTTGTATAAAAAAACTAGCACATAATTATGTGACGGCTTCGCCGCTGCATGTAAACTACCCCGATCAACAACTAGCGGCACAGAAAATTTTTTACATGATAGTCGCAACATTTTCCGAGTGCGAGTCATAGTATACTAAATTACAAGATTAAGTGAAAGTCGTTAATATTAAAATTATGTGAAGCCTCTTTTTCAACTTATAAATTATTTCACCGATTTACTAAATACTATAACTAGTCTAGTAACAATCTAGTAACTATCTAGTAACTAATCTAGACCTGTATATAATAATAATAATGTTTGAAGTATTTTCAGTAATCATGTTGGAATTCATCAAAACTGACTAGTATCGATAAATTTTACCCAAAATCAAAGTTGCCTGAATAATGATTTTGCTGTAATGTTGTTTGGTGATATTATTAGCCTAGCTTTGATGAATTAAATTCTAATTATATAAGCCTATATATTGTAACACCAATTCAAAATTCTATTTTCAAGGCGAAAAATAAGCTTGGATTATGATTTCGATAGTGGGTTAGGGTTAGAAAGAGAACTTTTGTAACTGTGTAGAAAAAAATTTCATAAGCAAAGTTTGGGTTACGAATGGTTTTTATCCTACGTACTGTGATCTTGAAATTTAATTGGTTAGCAAGTTTTTAGGCTAGTTGTTTTAAATGCTGTTTATAATAATTGCAACCAGACTAGATGTTTTAAATACTGCCTGTAATTCTTGTCACGAAGAATAAGTTTGGTAAAAAAAAAAAAGCAAACCTAATAACACAGTTATATCAGCAATCATGTAGCTGCCAAATTTAATGAAAACAATAAATTTAACTATCAATAAAAACGCTAGTAATAAAAGCAACAAAAAATATATGATCTATAAAGTAAAAAAATATGCACTAAACCTTAGAAATCCTTTGCTAATGTATCATCACATAATGTCCAGGTGCGTCATTTCGAGATAAACAATTTAAAGAGAACTAAGGGTTAAGTTTGATGCAAAGATTTTGTAGAATAATAAAATTGTTTGCATTCGGCAACATTAATTCTCAGCCCTCTTTAAAATTATATGTTTCGAAATAACGTAACGCTCTTGGCGATGATATTGTAAACATCAATTTAAAAAACATTAATTGATTTTAAGAATTTAAATTTATACCAAGCAAGTTATAGATCAGCATTTTAAAATTCAATATTATTGTTATCTGAATTTGAAGCAAAGTTATAAGCCACTAATGGACGCCAATCATGTCGCATTATGCTTGTATTTTATTATAAGTAACATGAATTCAAAATCTATAATTAATTTCTAAAAAAGCACTATAATACTATAAATTATCGATTGAAAAAAATTTTGGTTCAAATATAAAATACATTCCATCTTAAATATAAAATAATAAAAATATCGAACGTTTGCATTCACAATTATCTTAATTCTAGTATTTGCATAAATATAATTTGAAAGTTCGAAGTCTGAAGATACAAATCTTGAATAGACATATTCTAAATATGCAAATTTAAAGCTTCATTTACCTTTTTTATGTCAATCAGTTTGCTCGTATACATATGACTCGAATGATTTGTTGTTTCGATATTATTCATATGACTCGAATGATTCGATGATTCGATATTTGGTATGATTTTACAAGCCTCTAAGAATTGTTTTTTGATATCGTTATCATCTTCATCCGGTTCATCCTGTTCTATCTCGTCAAGCCAATAGATAATTCTTGAACTGACGACACTAATCGTTGGTCGTTTTTTTGGATCAGAATTCATACATCTCTTGGCCAATTTTACAAAGAATTTTGGAGTTCCTTCACCAAGTTCTGGTCGGTATCCATTACAAATTTTTACAGCAAGTTTAGTATCCAAAGGAACGCCATCAAATGCTTTTTTTCCAGTAGATATCTCAGTCATAATAACACCAAAAGAGTATATATCAGCCGCTTGGGTAAACTGTTGACCCCTCAAAACCTCGGGAGCTACGTATGGCAAGACTCCATTAATTTTACCATCCCGTTCGATATCGGACGATTTTGAAAGTCCCAGATCTGTGACGTATGCATTATGCAAAAGGTTTTGCAAAATGTTTCCGGAATGTAAATCTCTATGGATTAAATCCTGAGAATGAATGGATTCCAGATCCGAAGCCACACAATACAATAGGTTCAACTTTCTTTTCCAATCCATTTTTACAATTTTAGAAAGGTTTTCACGCAATGATCCTTTCTTTGCATACTCTAAAACTATTATATAATCTTTTGAATTCGGATCCCTTGATACTCCGTAACATTTTAAAAGCGATGGATTTTCGTATCCAATTTCACAATACTTTTTCAACTATTTAATATTTAGTAATTGAATCATTAAATGACTTACAAATAAATCCAATTAGTTAATTAATTAATAATTTAATATTACCTCATCAACGAATTCTTGACTAGATTTATTTGAATTATCAATTACTTTTAGTGCAACTGACTTCCAACAATTTTCATTTTTATCAAGCCATCTTGCATAATATACAGTTGCAAAACCACCTTTTCCAATTTCTTTTATGTTTGTAAATTCGTTGTAAGGAATCCACATTAGTTTATACGTTTCGTCATTTAATATCTTCTTTAATTCTTCATAATCTAAACTATTATAATCTAAATCATTGTGTAATTCTTGTCTATTTATCTTTTTCATATTTCTTCCCATTCGATACCAATGATTAGCTCGTTGTATATCCTTTACTACTCCTATTCCATTTCTATAACAATCGCCAACTTTTATCATTCCACTAATGAACCCCATATCTGCTGATTTTTTGATATAATTGAACGCTTCACTATCATCTTTTTTGACTCCATTCCCGTTTTTATAACAACGCCCAACCATGTATGTTCCTTCAACATTGCCCATCTTAGCAGATTTTTGATAATAAATGAATGCCTTATATTCATTCTTTTCAACACCAATTCCATTTTTATAACAATCTCCAAGATTGTACATTCCACTAGCATTTCCCACCTCAGCAGATTTTTTATAATAAATGAATGCCTTATGATCATCCTTTTCAATTCCAATTCCACGACTATAACAATACCCTACATTATTTATTCCTTTAACATGACCCATCTCAGCAGATTTTTGATAATAAATGAATCCCTCATGTTCATCCTTTTCAACTCCAATTCCATGTCGATAACAATATCCAACATTATATATTCCACTAGTATTCCCCATTTCTGCAGATTTTTTATAGTATTCAAAAGCCTTATACTCATCCTTCTCGATCCCAATACCTTTTTGATATTTCCATCCAAGTTCATTGAGTTCATCGCCTGTTAAACTCATATTCGATGGTATATAGTATCAACTGATTTTTTCATTGTTATTTATAGCATATATTTACGATGATCATTCACAAAAATGGACTAACTTTATTTTTATTAACACCCTTTATTTAACACCCTAGTACGGTAATCTTTGATTTGGTGAAACACGGGCTTTACTATTTTTGCGTTTACAGTACCCATCAGATCAACTAATATTGCTATCCATTTTTAGAATAAAAAAAGGAGATCCAGCGTATCACAAAGTTGAAAGCGTTGTGTATAGTCGGATTTACTTATTTGTGCTGGTAATACAACCCAAAAAAGAAATTTTGATTTGGTAAATAAACAAAGCGTAAAAACACAAGTTTAGGGTTGGAACATTAAAATTAGAAGCTATAGTCATAAACTTTACCAATTAAACGTAAAATTTTTCTTCCTGACATTTTTAATTAGTGCACCAAGACCGATTTAAACACTAGTTTTTGAGTATTATCGCTTTTTTCTTATTTCGCACGTGTTCGGAATTCATGTGGGGCTGATCCGAATGATCAACGTTTGAACTCACTAATTGGCTATTTCCTTTTTAGAAGTTTGTATTACTGGCACAAAATGTAAAGCCATGTATAGTCTATTGGTCTTGGTGTTTTATATTTGACCTGTGAATAGTTATAGAGAAATTCCACATTCGTACACATGAAAGAATATACGAGTTTTTCAGAAAAATAAGTAGTTTGATTTACATTTTTTTTTCAAATTTTTTACCATCCTGATAAATTGATAATCACTAATTATCAAAGACTAGAATGAAAGATAATAACGAAGAATTTGACGATCATTTCTAAAATACAGAAATATATCATATTATGTATGAATATGATTACATAATCAACATAATCAACAATAGTCCCAATATTTATTTATTTATTTTTATTTTATTTATTCGATATTATAAAATTAATCTACTGTCACGAATGTCCCATACATTTTTTGTCAATCATTCCTGCCATGTGAAATTTAAATTTCATGACTATGAGAAAAGACAGAATGGATCGTATTTGATTGGAAATCTGAAATTAAGACAAAGAGCTGCTCGATACGTAGTATCGGAGCAGCTTTTGTCTCGAATCATGTGACACTCGATCGAACATGTGATAGGCCCGATTACGATCACATGTTCGATTGACGATTGATATAGCGAACGAAAGTATGAGGTAATTGGTTAATTAATGTGGTCATTGATTATTTAGTAAGAATGAGGTAATTTGAGTAATTGATAATGGATCATTGATGAGAGTATGATACATGCGATTTGTGCTTTTGTGAGTCTAAGATATTTGAGTAATTATGAGGTAATTGGAATATAGTATATAAGAATAAATTTGTGAAAGTATTGAAGGGTAATTTTGTCTTTTCTGCGAATTCGACTTTCGTTCTGGTTATATCGACCCACCCACCCTTCCCATGAATTAAGCATTGTTGTAGTGGACTGGCCTGCCGGGATGGCAGTTATGTCTAAAAAAGGGGCAAGGTTGGGTAGGTTTCACCGGTCTCACTAGTGATGTGCCATTTATATGATATCCGGATTTTTTTAGCGTACAGTACGTACAGTACGTACAGTACGTATAGTGCGTATAGTGTGTATAGCATGTGCAATATGTATAGTACACGTATGATATATAAACTATCTATATGCAAAATTTCGCAAGGAATAATTTTACTTAGAATACAAAAGACGGTTTCTTAAGGAAACTTTTGAGATATGAATGGTTTTATAATTTATTCTAGAATATTCTTAAAAGTTTTTTGCGTACAGTACTATACGCGGAACATCACTAGGTCTCACAGTGTTCACGGTTTTTGCAGTTTGCAGATTTTTGAATTGTGACCTGTTTGGACAACAGTCGCAATGATGAGGTGGCCAGTCGGGACGACTGCTGCAAATAATCGGAATAATTTTAAGAATAATTTTAAGGATAATCTATAATGAAAAGCGCATATTAGCCAGCCGATACTCGCGAAGGCTGCGTAGGTTGCTCGTTGGCGGAAGAGGTATACCCGTTATTGTCCTTCATAGTTTTTAGGTACAGTATACACAAAATGAGAGACAAACAATAGTCATAATCAATTATGACTGAGCGAAATTTACAGCATCATATGTATCCAATTGCGTAATTGTGAATTGTACTTCTGAACAATCCCCGATTCATAATTAAACATTTAAAACATTTGGCAAAAGTAATCCGACAACTATAATCTTTCAATAAATCAAATTTCTTTGCAATTCATAATTTCTATTATTTCTATTAGCCAACAAAATGTCCGGTCTTATATTCCTCCTGAAATTATTTGCATTATTCCTGGTTTATTGAGGGATGATAAAAAAAACTCTTGTTACCGCCTTGGTTAATTATACTTTTAACCTTCATGCTAGACTAGTGTTGTTAGGCGAAACTATTTTTGGTAAATGGTGAAATCGAAACTAAACCCGGCGAAGGTCGAAACTGGCGAAACTCCAGCGAAACGTCGAAACTCTGGCGAAACTCCCAGTAAAGCTAAAACCCTTGGAGAAAGTTAAACACATCGAAGATTAAATCCTCTAAGATTTTGGAAAGACTGGTGAATCAAATTATTTTGCGTGTGACAGCTGGTTTATATAAGAATGTACAAAAGCAATAAACAAAGTGATGGTCTTTTATTTATATTTGAGTACTATTAAAAGAAAATTAGACTTCTGGCTTTTGAACTTATAATAAATCAATTCAGCGCCTGAAAATTCAAAGTTTAAATCCTGTTTTCTTTTAGTAGCATTTATTTGTGTATTAATATTAATCAAAATATTTAAATAAATTTACTATTGTTGGGTTCGGAAGATGCGACTCTGTCGCTTCACAATTCAATATCTCGCGTAACGTATGATAGGTAACCTTTTCGAAAGAGGGTGTTAGATTTGGCTGGTGGGCGCTTAAGGCTTTCGGTTACTTTGGGTCAACGAATACAAGTAGGGTAAGTCATGTGAACAAGAACTTGAACGAATAACGAAGTTTATGGATTTTGTAGGGTGTGTACTGGGTTTAGTGTTAGTATTTTATTATATACGTTATAATGTATTGGGATTTGTATTTTTAATAAAGTCAACGAAGCATACTGCTCTTAAAGGTCATTTTGACTTTTATTTATAATACTAAATTCATCACTTATAAATGTGATTTTGCATTTATTATTACTTTAAGATTATCTAATTTTATTTACAATTACTTATTTAATTTTTCTAGTACTGTTTTATTTTTTTAAGAATGTGTGATTTATCTTTACATCCTCTTACTGGATCCAAAATACCATTCTCAATCACAAATGTAATTTATTACATTTTGTGTATTTTTCATGTAATTGATCATGATATTTCAGTATTACATTATTATATAGTTAAGATTTTTCTTTACATAGTATTTTATTATTAAAATTTTATTAATACTATATATATATAAGCAATTTATTAAACATTATTATTAGTAACTAGTTTTTTAATGTTTTATTTTATTTAATCTTAAATCTTTTGAGTTAATTTTAAGAAAATAACTGTTGTAATAACTTATA